TTATATGTTCATTACGCGAGATATTGGATACTATATGTTTTATATGCGAAATATGGTGAATTATTGCATTTTGGAGATATTACTTATGGTAAGTATTTCTATACTATACGAAGTATGTTATTTTTGGAAACTATGCTTGTTTTGTAGCGAAGGGTTATTATGTTTTAGGCCCACTCACCTTATTTTTTGGCCCTCCACGATTTAGTGGCAGAGTTTTTGTGCCGACAAGGATTCCTGGCAAATGTTACTTTAGGAGATTACCTTCGATGGTATAATTCTTATCCTACTTTTACTGTATTTTACTTATGCTCTGGCACCATGTGTGAATTAGGTTCAATCCTGCTCACATGCGCACTCTTGCATTTAGTTTGCTTTTAGGTTCAAATTTATTCACATTTTCCACATCACCACACTTTATGGCTTCGTCACCTTCCTGGTGTCGCTCAGCACAACTCGATTTAGAGTCCAGGTGGACATTCCGGGTCAGGGTGTGTCATTTATACGTAAAGATGAATAGTTAAACATACATGGTAAGGTTGGAGATAACCATAAAAGGCCAAAGGCATATAATATTTGTTATGGGGACATATCTATGACATCACTTTTTTTATACAACTTTTGATAAACATTTTGTGGGGCTCACTTCGTAATGTATTTCAATGAGCTGAACTGTCCATCTTTCAGGTATTCGTTCAAAGATCATGTCTACCAAAAATCACCAAAATCTGGAACTATATCCATTGGGTTTAGGGTTTCTTTGTACAATTGTATTCGTCCATTCTCGTCACTACTAATAAATGTCTTATTGATTTTGCTAAAACTATGTGAAGAACAATCTTACTCTATTATTGAGCATTAAGTAATTATTATATTTCAAAAATACTATTTGAATTTTTTTAATTTCATAATTATCGATTCTGAAATTCATAAATGCGAGAGTTAAATCTCCTAAATAATGCAACATTTAAATGTTGGACTGAATAAATAAAATTTCAATCGAACAATTGGGTTGAACAAAGACCGTAACCAAAATGACCATATTTTACATTTTGTATGTGTTGTATAATATTTTAGCCTCACTACTATTTAGCCAATGGACAATGTAAAAAGGTTCCTCACCATCGTTTAAGGGACCTCTCTCCCTCAAAGCGTGTTTACTAATTGGGATGGGAAAGGGAGAGAAACAGAATTGCATTCCTCCTGAAGCATTCCGCCATTTACTAGCAATTGGGGAATCAAATTTTATGTGGGGTCCACCCAATTCAGGAGTTCAATTCTGGATTTCCTCAGAATTAGATTACCTCTATAGAGGTGATAACTTTGGCAACATAGATTCTTAGGCCAAAGCCCCCCATTCATCGTGAGCGCATGATGCTTTTGGCCTTAATCTTTGCAGGTGCATTTTCATAAAGGAAGAGACAGCAAAAATTTGCATCCATAAATTGGTGCTATCATGGTAGGAAATTCAGAAACTACAACCAATGAGACATCTTACGTGGAATGACATAGACCAACTGATGAAGATAGCGACGTGGCTCTATGTCGTTGCTCATTGAGGCTTACCATGGCAAAGACCGCACCACTGCCACCACGAGGTACCGTGGCCATGCCAGCAGCGGCTGCCGTCGTTGTAATGGCCTATAGGGCAGCGTCCACTCATTGCGAGAAAGCCCTAGGGTAGGGGGCCTGAGACGTAAGTAGCCAGCAGCCGTAGGCCCATTAAATTGCTCGCTCTAGGCAGCAGTCCTAACGCCTACCTCTTTCACCTGGACGCGAACTACCCAAACTGAGGTAACCCAAGTTGCGCCAACCGTGGCGCAAGCTACAACCCAACGCGAGCCTAGTGGACCTCTAGCTCGAGACTAAGCAGGACAAACCGAGGCAACCTAGCACCCATGCGCCCAACCTACTCCTATAGCCTTCTAGACGGTTAATCATGGTCTCAGACTAGTTCAACTTACCCAAATCCAGATTTCGAGGCTAACGGTCGAACCAAGGGTATTTTCACCCCACCTTACTGTAGATCTGACCCATCCTGGCTCAACTAAAAATTGTTTAACTTTAAAGTTAAGTAATAAAAAACATTTGGTAAAAATATAAGGGTTTGTTTGGTATCTAACTTGAGAACAAAACTCAAAATTTTGATTTTTTTCTAAAAGCACATGTGTTGTTTAAAAATATTAAATTCAAATCCTTGTTTGGTATGCAACTTCTCTAAACTGATTCCAAATAGAAATAACTTAAGTTGAAGAGTTTGACGAAGCTCTTTTCCTATAGTAAATCCCAATCTTCTTGTAGGGGCTTTGGGCTATAACAAAAAAACCACTACAACTATTAACCTTACATGACTACCACCCCTACCACCATCATTATTGTCACTACTGCCACCACCACAATCGCCACCACGACCATCACCATCACTGCCACCCTCGCTGCCACCATTACCAACACTACCGCAACCACCACCACCGTCACCACCATCATTACCATCACCATCGTTGCTATCACCGCTATCATAACCACAACTGCCACCACCACCTCTATCATTGACTCTAGCACTATTCCCCCAACCACGACATCCTTTTGTTGTCACCAAAAACCATACCCCCACCATTGTCGTAGCCATCAATTCCATCGCCTCGCCGCTGTTGTTGTTGTCACCGCCCCAATTATTATGTTCAATTTTGTCATTATATACAATTATATTACTTTCACATTAAAGTGTTCCAAACGCTTTTACCCTATTTTTCGTACACATAACACTTTTAAAAATACAGTTTATCAAATGCTCAACTGCTTTATTTTACAGCTGGTTATTCTTAAAGTACAGCAAAATAGTCTTTAAAGAAAAAAAATACAGCCATCCAAAACTAGTGCTAAGTTCGAACATGAACCTTGAACACCAACCCTAAATTTGATTCAATCTTGGATTCCATTTGCAACGAAGAATATATTTGATATTATTCCTTATTGATTTCATTTGGTTCCTATTTTCTATCCTATTCTATTTAATTTCCTCAACCATACATCACATTAAATTTTAGGGGTGTGATATCCACACACCCCATTTTATTTCTCACACATCTTTTTAATTTTCGGCCATCGGATCAGATGAATTGAAGAAGATCAACGGATAGAAATTATCAAGGGGTGTGTAAGAAGTAAAATCACACACCCCTAAATTTTGTTGTGCATCACTAACAAAGTGAAGACATGAATTTATTTTTTTTCAAATTTTATTCTTATTAAAGGGAGATGGCAAATTCAAAACTATTACAATAATTTAAGAGAAAAGAATTTTAAACTCAGAACACATGGTAGAAATGAACATCCTATCTACTAAGATATTAGACCACATGTAAAAACATGAACTTATCAACATATTGAAGTTTGTTATTTGTAAAGACTCATCAATAAATTCAAAATTTTTAATGCTTCAATGGGCTATTTAGGTTGCATTGTATTTGGTACACACTATTTAATGAGGATTAAATGGCAAAAGCAACTGATTTTAGGAAATGTTGTTCACCAAAGGTGAAGTTGATACCCTTAATTAAACAAGAGGGAAGCATTATAAAAAAAAAAAAAAAACTAAAATATGAGGAATGTACCTTTCCCTTTTGATAAAGTATGGAATGCAAGTCACATTGGCTTTATATAAACATCACACCAATTTTTAACAAGGGAAATGCTAAAGAGATTGTGGGACTCTTCAAGGACACCATGCCATTTTATAATTTAAGGTTAATTTTTGTGTTAATATTATAAAATTTGTGCTAAAAATACGAGGTAATAAAAAGTTTATGAAAAGTCTCACTTTTGAGAGTCTTCTTAGCATTTATCTCTTAACAAAATAAAGTTGGTTTTTTTTTTTTTAATACAAACAATATTGAAGAAAGAGAAATTAGCTTAGACTATAAGTGTATACTATATAGGTAAATGTTATAAATCATTTGAGCTAAATTGCAAATAAAAATGAATAGTTAAACCCATAAATATGTATCAAACTTATTGCAAATAAAAATGAATATTTAAACCCATAAACATGTATAACCAAATAAAAACATATGGAATTAAGAGAAAATTAGAGTATTGATCCGTAAACTTAGATGCAACGAGTCCTTAAACTAAAATATATGAGTTTTACTCCTTCAACTTGTTCAGCATTTTAAAAGTGTTTGAACGACAATCATCAATAAATAAAACACAAAAGAAATAATGTCCAGGCTGAAATTAATTTCATAACGTGTTTGCTCCACTCATGAATACATGAGATGAAGGAAGCAAAACAAATATCTCCTATAATAAGTACAAAAATGTTAGCTTGGGGAAATGGAAACCGACTCAAATTTGACTCTGCCCTCACTCTTACTCTCACTATAAATGCTAAGAAGATCTTTTCAAATGTGAGGCTGAGACTCTTTGTTATTCTATGTTTTTTGCATAATATTTTATAATGTTAATACGATAATTGACGTTAAATTGTAAAGTGACAGAAAGTTCTTTGAAAATATCATTTTTTAGAGTATCCTTAGCATTTCTCTTGTAAGAACCTAATGAGTAATTTTTCGTTGTCATCATCAATTTGACATGTGTCCTTATTGATCCACGCATTTTATAACACGTCTATCTATTTGTTAGTGAATAACGTTTGTCTTCTACGATACAAGATTAACGTCCGATAATGACACTCTTAATCATAAAGTCTAGTAAATCACAATTGTGTTTAAATTCACTAAATATGAAAAAAAAAATAAAAACTCAAGTAAATTTGTTTAACTCATAAGTCAATAACATAACATACCGTTGAATGACTCTTACACTGAAAAATCTCCGTGGACCAAAGTTTTTTATAGTTTTATCATGGAGTAAAAAAGGAAAAAATGAGGAGTGGTTGAACACAAAAAGCACAGAAAAGACCGAAGCTTTTCGTAGTGATAACCGTTTATAGATCAATAGAGACACACTTTTAACAGTAAAAACATTAAAAAACTTTCCCATTTCGTGGAAAAAGAAACCGAGAAAGGGCCGGTCAAGCACTCTCTCATGGTCAGGAGTCTATTGAGCCAATAGCACTAAATTGCAGTCCTCAAGTCGTCGCCAAGTTGGACAAAAATGGCCGGCCTTCTTTGACCCGTCGGCCCTCTCTCTTTTCCTCTCTTTTCTTCTCCAATCCCATCCAAACGTTTTTTTCTGCAAAAATCCATCTCCATTCACACACCTTTTTACAATTTTCCCAGAAAAATTATTGGGTAATTATTTTTATATAAATCGTATGTTGCACTTATTTTTTTGTTGACCGGGAAAGTCTTTGTCTTTGTGGAAAAAGAAGGAAGCTTTGCTGTGGATTCAAGAACCCTTCTCCGGGATCTTTGATTCATCAGTGTTTTCTGCAAGAGAATTATGTCAGGTGAGTTTTTTGAAATTTTCCCAAAGCTTTAAATTTGTAGCTGGATTTTTGTATGTTTAGGGAGACTTGGGTCAACTCAATTGGATCAAGTCAGTTTTTTGAACTTGCTACGTGTTTGTTCTAGTTTGTATTTTGTGAATTTTGAATTCGCTTGTTTTCATTAGTTGAATTATTGCTTGGTATACCTGTTTCTGCATCTTTTGGTAGAGAGATGATGAATTGGGTTTTGCTTCCTGTGTTGTTTCCATAATTTGTTTTCAAATTTGGTGTTAATTAAAGCTAAAGTTTTGTAAAACTTGAGTGTTTATTGGTCTGATTGGGTTCATTTCTTTTTGCTTTTGAATTTTGTTTCAGGGCTTGGTGTTTGCTAATGCTGGGGTTTTGTGGAATTCAGTCTTCTTGAGCTCTGGTAATAATAAAAAATAGCGAATTTAGGCGATTTTGATGGCTTTTTCAATGTATATGGTATTGAATGGACGAGATCCTGGTATTTTCGTTGGTGCTGTGGTCTGGTTATTACTCAGTTGTAGTTTGAGCTCTGCCGTTGAGAGTGATATCAACTGCTTGAAAAGTCTAAAAGCAACACTTCAGGACCCTTTAGGTTACCTAAAATCTTCATGGGATTTCAACAATGACACAGAAGGTTTCATCTGTAACTTTCTGGGAATCGAGTGTTGGCACCCTCACGAGAGCAAAGTTTTAAATATCAAGCTTTCGGATTTGGGACTCAAGGGCCCGTTTCCTCATGGTATAGCGAATTGTACAAGCTTAACAGGATTAGATCTTTCGAGCAACAAGCTCAGTGGACCTCTTCCTGAAGATATCGGTAGAATTATTTCGTACATTACAACTCTTGATCTCTCTTCTAACAGCTTCTCAGGGCAAATCCCAACAAATATTACCAATTGTAGCTATCTGAATGTGCTTAAGCTTGACAGCAACCAGTTCACGGGTAACATCCCTCTAGGCATTGGCCAGCTCAGTAGGATGAAAACATTTAGCGTGGCAAACAATCAGCTTTCTGGCCAAGTCCCAGACTTCGGTTCCAATCCTGGAATTACAGCAGAAAGTTACGCAAACAATGTTGGACTTTGTGGGAAGCTTCTGAATCCGTGCCGGGGAGCTCAAAAGAAGTCTAACAGCGTAGTTATTGTGGCAGCTGGTGTTGGCGGTGCAACGTTTGCAGGACTAGTTGTGATTATTGCCTTGGTCTTCTTTATGCGTAGAGTGTCTGCAAAGAAGAAGGAAGAGGACCCTGAAGGAAACAAGTGGGCTAAGAGTTTGAAGAAAACGAAAGCCGTCAAGGCAAGCTATTACATAGCATATCTTTTAGAAACAAATTAATACTTACGTATAATGATATTTGATTGGTTCTGTTTCTCTTTGTTTCTCGCGATGTTTTATTGATTTTAGACGGTCCAATTTATGTTTCCATTTTTGGTGGTTTGAATTGTATTGCATTCTAACGAAGCTAGTTTACTCCAGGTTTCCATGTTTGAGAAGTCGCTTTCTAAGATGAAGCTGAGTGATCTCATGAGGGCCAGCAACAGTTTCTGCAAGGACAATATCATTGGGACAGGAAGAACTGGAACAATGTACAAAGCAGTGCTCGATGACGGCACTCCACTTATGGTCAAGAGGTTGCAGGAATCTCAACACTCTGAGAAAGAGTTTCTGTCTGAGATGGCTACTTTGGGAAATATAGGGCACCGTAACTTGGTTCCTCTTTTAGGTTTTTGCACGGCAAAGAGGGAAAGGCTTTTGGTCTATAGGTACATGCCTAATGGTACCCTCCACGATCAGCTACATCCTGCAGATGCTGAAGGTGCAAAGATCATGGACTGGCCAACTAGGCTTAAAATTGGGATAGGGGCAGCTAGAGGATTAGCGTGGCTCCACCATAACTGCAATCCTCGAATTATCCACCGAAACATAAGCTCCAAATGCATCTTATTGGATGCAGATTTTGAGCCCAGAATATCTGAATTTGGGCTAGCTAGGCTCATGAATCCAATTGATACACATTTGAGTACTTTTGTGAATGGGGAGTTTGGTGATCTGGGATATGTTGCTCCCGAGTATGCACGAACTCTAGTGGCCACTCCAAAGGGAGATGTTTACAGTTTCGGAACTGTACTCCTTGAGTTGGTGACTGGTGAGAGGGCTACCCACATTTCTAAAGCCCCTGAAGACTTCAAAGGAAATTTGGTGGAATGGATTATGCAACTGTCAAGTAAATCTCAACTCCTGGATGCGCTAGACAAATCTTTGGTCGGGAAGGGTGTGAATGATGAGCTTTTCCAGTTTCTTAAAGTTGCGTGCAACTGTGTAGGGCCTATTGCCAAGGAGAGGCCTACAATGTTTGAAGTATACCAGCTTCTAAGGGCCATAGGGGAGAAATATCACTTCACAGTCGAAGATGAGATGATGATGCCAACAGACAATGGCGATGGTGATGCTTCAGGTGAACTTATTGTTGCTCGAGGGATGGTTGAGATGACCTGAAAAAAGGTAAGAGTTTATTAGTATATGGTCAGTACCCTTCTGTAATTATCTGTTTTTGTGTACTGTAATAAGCATTATTTATACATATATGATTTACGCTTTAGTTAACATTTGGAACTGCTTTTTTCGACATACAAATGTAAAATCATCATGTTAGAATCTTTTCATGTGTAATGTGAGTCCCTTATAACCCAACTTGGTTAGTAAATTTGTGGGGTATTTGTGTAGTTGCATTTGTATTAAATGTATTATTTCCGATAGGAGGAAGATGACGCCGAGATTCTGTTCTTCATTCTCTTTTCGTCCCTGCCACCTCTCATATCTGCTTCTCAGCGCCATTTTCAGAGAAGTTTTTGTTTCTTGGTTATTTTTACCCAAAACTAAGTTGATGGGAAACAAAGTAAATAGAAGTTGAAACGAGAATGCAGAAGCATTGCCCAACTGTTTCATTTTTATATTGAGTGATGAATCTTGTCGTAAATATTATTTATGATGTGGCTGTTCACTTTTTGGGTCATATATAACATGTTAATAGTTTAGTTTCTCAATGATCGAATAAGGCATCGACGATTCACGGACGAATTGCATGGATGCCGATTACATGAGAGTTTATATAGGGTAGTGATATTTACACCTCCATTTTTATTTTTCAGGCACCTCTCAATTATCAACCGTCGAATTGAATGAATTAAAGAAAATCAATTGCAAAAAATTAAAGGCTCGTTTGAAACTGCTTTTAAAATGTTTTCAACAGAATTTTATGTGGATTCTAAAAGCACTTCAAGTGATTCTTGCAAGAAACACTTCTAGTGTTTTTTAGGACTTACTTGCATTTTTATTAAAGATTAGTTTCAAAAGCATTTCACAAAAAACGCTTTTACCTATTTTAAAAGTAGTTCTAAACGAGCTATAATAAGGATATGTGATGTGTAAAAATGGGTGTGTGAGAAGCACTATCCCTGAAAATAACATGGAAATTGAGCCAAACAGAGACTTCACCAATTGGGCCTACAACACCGTGGTCCCAGGTTGAATCTGGCTCCACCAGTACAATCCCAAAAGCCCAAGATAATAAAGAGAAGCTAAGACCCTCCTAATTCAGTTTTTTTTTCTTCCTTCTTCTTGTTCCTATGAACAAACGATAGGAAAAAAAAAATGAATTAAGTTTAGCTAAGTTGATTAGTTGATTGGTTGATTAATATATAAATTTGAAAGAGGTTATCAAGTTCTATATCTTTAATGGCCTTATTATTATTAACAATTACATGTCCATTTTATTAGCTCATGATTGGTATCTTTTGAACAATGAAGAAATGATTCGCAGGCGTCATGCCCCGCCTCACCTAGAGATTCTGCTTAGTCTTCAATATCTTTACGAGTTCATATTATTTTTCATATAATATGCGATTAAATTACGTGATAATCGTTGTAGATCCATATCTTTAATGAGTAAATGTTTTGAGTTTGAACCCTTTGAAATAATATATGGTACGCTCGAAGGGGTGATTGTACGCTTAGGATCCGTTCGGTACGGTTTTGATTACCCTTTGTTTTGAATTTCTCTTCTTAATGTGCTATTTCTTCTTGTCTCACTGTCCCTTTCTTATCAGCTTGAGCTTTAAGCCCCGTTTTCCACAAGAAGTAGCTTTTACTCCACCAATTTTCAGTACTAATAATAATTTTATCACTTAATTTTACAATTTAGTGATATTCATTTTTACTTGTAAGTGGAGGTCTTAGGTTCGATTCTCGCCAAATGTGAATTTGAATCATATTATTGTTAGTTTATTGTGAAACTTAGCTTATCCCCTCTCTTTCTTTTAATGTAGATAATATCGTTTGTTGAAAAAAAAAAAAAATTTATGCATGGGCAAGGGAAGTGCGATTCACGTCTGAGAAGTCAAAGTTTATAATGAAACAGTGCCATCTCAGGAAGCCAACCGCAAAGGCACTAGCAGGGTCTGGAAAGCCCCAGTCAAGCAGTCAATTGTCCAAGTCGTTCCTCAGCTTTTGACAAAAAGGAATGACCTCAAAATGAAGGCATTGTTGAGTGCTGACATATTTAACAATTTTGTCGTCTTTCTTATTTTATAACACGTTATTTTATTTATTATATTGATTTTTCTTTGAATTGAGATCTTGAATAACATATCCTATTGAAGGCGATTAAGAGAGAATCACGTATAGTTTTGTTTGACCGAGATGTGTTTTTATTTATTTGTATAAAAACTTGAATAGTAATATTGTGTACCGTTGTGATAGTTATGCTAAAAAATTTTCGTTTCACATAGGGATCAGGAAAAAAAAATACGTGGACTTATAAACCACTCTGGCATTTAAGTTACGTCTGGACCATGACATTAATTTTGTCGTTGAACTTTCTTTCCGAGTGAAATTTCTGGGTTCTTTCACATTCCCCAGTCTTATTAAAAGCTAGAGAATTTGTGGGTTTGATTGAGCACTATCTCTAGCTCTGGTCATTTGGCTTCAATTTTATTGAAACAGTAGAAATTTTTAAGACCGTTTTGATGGATTTCTTAGTACGTGATACCTTGTTGAGCAAACAACATTTTCTTGGCAGCATTTTTATTTGTTGCGTCTTATTGCTTACTTGTAGTTTCAGCTTTGGTGTTGAGAGTGATATTAGCTGCCTCAAAAGCATAAAAGCCTCACTTGAAGATCCTTCAGGGTACTTAAGCCTTTCATGGGATTTTAGCAACACCACCGAAGGCTTCATCTGCAAATTTCTTGGAATCGAGTGCTGGCACCCAAACGAGAACAAAGTTTTGAACATCAAGCTTTCGGATTTGGGACTAAAAGGTCAGTTTCCTCGGGGCTTATCTAACTGCTCAAGCTTAACTGGCCTAGATCTGTCCGGCAACAAGCTCAGTGGACCTCTTCCTGAAGATATTGGTAGAATCCTTGCGTTTATTACGACTCTTGATCTCTCATCGAACAGCTTCTCGGGGAAAATCCCCCCGAGTCTTTCGAATTGTAGCTATCTGAATGTGCTTAAGCTTGAAAACAATGAGTTCTCGGGTAAAATTCCTCAACAACTTGCCCAGCTCAAAAGGCTTAAAACATTTAGTGTGGCCAACAATAGACTATCCGGTCCAGTCCCAAATTTCGACGGTTCTGTTTCATTCGGATCGGAAAGCTACGCAGGCAACTCCGGACTCTGTGGAGGCCCGTTGAAGCCTTGCCAGTAGAAGCGTAGTACTATATTCAAAGTTTGGAAGTCGAATCATGTAGTTATGGCAGCAGCTGGTTCTGGTTTTGGTTTTGGTTTTGGTTTTCCCCTTTTTCTCTGTTTTTTCCCTGCGAGCTGCTAGCAGTGTGCTTTATTTCATGGTGTCTCACGAGGATTTAAGTCGAAATAAATCTGATCAGTAATTCGTGTCCAATCGTGTATGCAAATAATCTTGTACTTGAAAATAAGAAATTTTTCGGCGTGACTTGAAAACTATGTACATGATTAATTATTAATCTCGCAAACATTGCAAATTTTACAAAACATAGATTGTGTTTTTATTTTTATTTTTTATTTTTTTGTTGGAAAAAAAATCCGTTGCCGGACTACAAGTTCATTGAATTGCACAAAAAAGGTAACCGGATAAATTAAAGAACATCCATTTGTATACCCAAAGGCATGAAACGCGTCCTCTTATTTTTCAAACACCAAAAGTAAACCTAGTTGTAAGCATCCCACAGCCTCATGTGCTAAAACCTCCAATTGGGGGCGCCACGAGACCACGAAACCCTTCTCCGATGCCTCCTCTACAAATCCTTTTGGTAGCTTAGCCGCTTCTTTTTCTCTAACCACCCACAAGAAGTAGCTTTTGGTCCTCTTCAAACCCCGACTTAGTACCTCCATTTGCTCAGCTCCAAGTTCTGCTAAGCTGCCAAAGGACACACATAAGCTATAGACTCTTTTGGCTTTGCATTTAGCCATTTCATACAGGCATCAGTGTTTGGATTAAAAAGACTAAAGCCATATTCTGTGTCATCTTCCCGCCGCTTATCCAAGTACTTTGATGGTATGGTTGGTCTGATCGTCCTCAATGGCCAAAACTTTGCCATCCAATCCACCACCTATATATGCACAAACAAATCAAAACACCAAATATAAGCTTGGAATTAAATTTAATGTTCGTAAGCTCAATTACTCTCTTTTTACATGAATTCGGTTTCATTTCATTCGGAAAACGCTCTCTTTTTCTTAACAATGTCTTTGTCATTGGATCCAATAACGAACTTCCATTAGATAGTATTGGAAGGACAGCAAGGCAAGCAGAAAGCAAGGCAAGCTGTATATACAGCAAGGCAAGCAGAAAGCAAGGCAGCATGTGTTTGCTGACTCATGGACAGCAGGGAAAGGAATGTGCACATGCATGTGTGCTGTTGCATCTGATTACAAGGGTGTAAAGCTTTCAGGTTTCCTTTTTTCTGAATTGTATATATGTATCCTTTCCCTGCTGTCCATGAGTCAGCAAACACATGCTGCCTTGCTTTCTGCTTGCCTTGCTGTATATACAGCTTGCCTTGCTGTCCTTCCAATAGATAGGAACAACTTTGATAAATACTGATAACTCTCAGTTTGAGTAGAATGAAAAGAAAATTCATTAGATAATGAACTATTGGTTTTGTGCCATCTTTGCGATGAATCAACAATTCAAAGCACCTATCTTACATATTCTTGATTGTTTTGTACTTAAGAAAAAAGTTAAACTACTTAGTATATCTATCCTCTCCAGGAATGAATTTGGAAAAGAAAAACAATGAAAATCGTTCAATTTAATCATGATGTTGCACATCACTACTAAAAATCATTTAATTTGTCAAAAAGTTGTCACGCTAGAGGTTACATGTTTCTCTTTGCACGGTTCCTGTGATCAATACTGTGTTTGTGTCAATTATTTTCTGCATTGGGCACAATACATAGTGCCTTATATTGAATGGATACTGCTTCACCCTATTAGTGTTTAATGTTGTTTAACGAGACGCAAACTTCTCATTTGCGTCCTTAATTTTGTAATTAAGGCCCCATTTTTTGGTAGTGTATATGCACAATCCCAACATGTTTATTGATCAATTACCTCTTCTTCCAGCTCATAAAATGTGTTGCAGAGGATCCAATCAGCTTTGTCAACATTAGAGAACTGATCATCCACAACCATCTTGAAGAAAGCCGGGTACGACCCAAAAGCATGGATGAAAGAAGGCATGTCTGAGGGCTGAAGTGGTGGCAATCCAGGAAGCAGAATTTCACAGTCAGGAGGCAGATGAAGTTTGAGCAGTCCTTGTTGGACATGGTAGTAAATGTTGTCCACTGCACAAGACTGAGTGAGAAAAACTGCCCCAACAATTCCAAACTTTTTAGCAACATCAAGAGGCCAAGGTATGAATGCATCATAAACAATACAATCAACGGGGTTCCCTGAGCACGAAAGCTTTTCGAGAAGCTCGATCAATGTATTTGTCCCTACCTTCTGAAAGCTGTCCAAATAGGCTTCAGTGGTTTCAGCTTGGAGAATCCCACCTTCGTCGTAGCTGTCGGAAATGGTTTCGAATGCAATGGAGGTGAATGGTGATCTATGCATGGTGCTGTGGAAACGGTGAGTAGTGACGAGGGTGATTTTTAGTCCTTTGTGTTGTAGAACCTTGGAGAATTGGAGCATGGGATTTATGTGGCCTTGGGATGGATAGGGCAACACCAAGCAGTGAGCCTTGTCATCTCTCTCTTTCTTTTCCTCTGTTTTTCCTATTTTTTTGCTAGCCAACAGGATCCTCTCCGAATCCTCTTTGTAGAATCCGAGGATCCGTGAATCGTGTTTGTTCATTGTACATCGTGCAGTCAATTTTCGTTCGAGACTGTTTGTATTCAATTTTAAATAAAAAAATTTAAAATTATTTCTAACTGCATGATGTACAATGAACGGATACGATTCACTGATTCTCGAGATTCTCACAAAAAGGAACTAGGTTCTTTTGCTAGGGTTTTCAATTCTTTGCTGTACTCAGCAAGTTATATATACTCGGTATTAATTGTATGCCTCAGTTACCAATGTTTAGTCAAAATACCAGTTTGCGTTTATATTCCGTCTAAAAGTTGAACGTTAGGTCATCACATGCAAGAGTAAAAGTACACATGAAATGACATACTGTCATGCATGAGAGCTAGAAGTCCAACTTTTGAATAAAACTTGGGCTATATACTTTTATTGAGATTGGTAATAGAATCCACTATAAGTGTATTTTTTAACGAAACATATACATGAAAGCGCAAAAATACACATGAAATGACGTATTTTTACCATGCATGAGAGCTACCTGTCCAATTTTCAAACAAAACATGGACATCAATCTCGAAATTTGACTGAGATTGGTAATAGAATCCACCACAAGTATCATTAATTGTTTCTTATTTCATATGAGAGCAGGGGGTGATTTGTGCAATTTTCCTGTCAAAATGTTTAAAGAACCGTGCCCTGCACTGGGTTGCAAAACTCCCGACTGTAAAATATTTGTGTGACGGTGACCACACAGATTGGATTAATGAATCTCAATCTTAGGATAAGGGATAGTAAGAAGCAACAGAACCTTGTATGAGAGAAATTAATAAGGAAGAGGGAGAGAGAGAGAGAGAGAGAGAATAAATCCAAAAATTGCCGTCACAAATGGAAAATATTGGTCAGTGGACAGGAAGGCAGTGAATGATGAGTTCGTAGCAAAACGGACTACGTGATAGTTTTGAGTCGGTTGTAGTCAATGTTCATCAGGTTCAAGCTGTGATGTTTTGGTAGATATCTGAAAATTTTCCTATTAGAAGTAACTAGAAATTGATGTTCGCACGTTGCTGCGGGATTAAAAGAATTATAAGTTATAGTTCTATCTCTATCTTTCCAAAAGCATTTAAATTGAATTTCTATCAACAATCTGAAACAACACAATTGTAAACATAACGTTTGGTGATCTAATGGTTAAAAACTATGTAAACCACCTAGTAGACATCAAAAAATAAAATGTACACGAAAATTAAGGACTCGATTTACCTTGGAGTTCACAGGATTAACGTAAGTAAATCTCCTCCTAAGATCCTTAGATGTTATTTCTGCTATGTATACAGGTATGTTAGAGCAGTTATATTTTTATTTAAATATTTAAATATATTTATGTTTTGTTTTATTACCAATATTAAAAGTCAATTAATTTTGGCTTAAGGAGTTATCTCCCCTAAATATGAAACATGCAATTGAACCGTTTTAGTTTTAATTTTCAGTTTGAATTGATTTTTGTTTTGTCCCGTTATGGTTTTTATCCGTTTTGATTTCAATTGCCATTATTCCTTGCGGTTTTGATTTCAATTGCTTTGATTGATTACAGATTGCAATCTCAACGTATTTTTTTATTATAATATATATTTATATACACACACACACACCAACATATATAAAAAGATAGATACAAGTCATGCAGATGCAAAGAGGCTAAGAGAGAAAGAAAAAATAGTTTTACATATTGATTTAATAGCAATATATCGAAAGGGTGTAAGTTTGAAGGTTCTTCCGTTGTGCAAGGAAGAACCTTATTAGAAGAAGAAGGTTCTGGGCTGTTTTATCCTGGGGACGATGTGATGTTTGTGAACTGCTTGCACACGTTGGGCAGAGCTGCAAAACGTCTTAAAGAGAGCGACTTAGTTTGCGACTCATCCCAAGAATCATTCACTACTCAAGGCTTCTACATTTTTAGGGTAACTTCGTTCCTTTCTATTTCAGTTTACAACAATTTTAAGACGGATTCAATCTGCCATGCATTATAAGGAAAACTCTGCTTCTCAGGAAAATCTTTTTGAAGAGCAACTGATTGCAATGACATCAGAAATCAACGTAGTTGATGGATCCGAGGGATGGTGAGTGGATACTGGCACTTCTCGCCATGTTTGCTACGATCGTTCCTTTTTCAAGACCTATTCTGTGGCTGAGGGAAGGAAAGTCTTGTTGGGTGATTCGCACTCAAGTGATATTGCTGGTACTAGAAAGGTGGAGTTAAAGTTCACATCTGGAAAAACCATGATACTAAAAGATGTGGTGCACGCTCCGGCGATAAGGAAGAATCTTGTCTCAGGCTTTCTTCTCAACAAGGCTGGATTCACTCAAACGTTTGGAGCAGATATGTATAATCTTACTAAAAATGGGGTTTTTGTGGGAAAGGGATATGCTACTGATGGAATGTTTAAATTGAATATTGATAAAATGTCTACTTCTGCTTACATGTTGTCTTCTTTTAATACTTGGCATGCTAGACTTTGTCATGTGAACAAACGCTTGGTTAAGACCATGAGTAACTTAGACTTTTTACCCAACTTATCATTGAATGATTTTGAAAAATGTGAATGTTGTAGTCA